CACCGACTCTTCACAAACATCAAAAACTATAACATCACCGCTGCAAAACCTCTCGTAACAGATGAAATAGTAGAAAAGCGCAATAAGTTGGTGCAAATAGCCCAAAAATCAAAAGTTCTTCGATTAATTTGCGATGAAATGGAGAAATCTTCAGCAAAATCCACGGAACACTGCAATTAGGAGAGCAACACAGGAGAATTGGAAGGTAGAACATGTTGATTGGAAAGTATTAGTGATAAAAATTGGATGAAAAAGATTTAAATTAGGATTTGGGTTTATATATTTGGGAAAACAAGAGTGAAGTTTGGGATATATGAGGAGGAAAAGGGGAAGGAAAAAAATTAATATTTTTTTTTCTGTTTTATCTTTGTTTGTTATTTATTAGGTTAATTGTTATTTAATAAAGCTAATTAGTTGCTAGTTATCAAAATATTGTCATGTTAGAGAAACTTACATAAAGTAATGCTATTTGGGAGAATTCGCCAAATAATGCCATTTGGGAGAATTCGCTAAATATTTTGTTAACATTGAGAATGAGAAAAAGTACATAGCTACTATTAAAAGTTTCCCTAATTTGTTTATGTCTGTTTAAACTAAGCAAGGCCTACTCAAAATCTAATTTACATGTGTATCTCTGTACATCATACTCTCTTTATTATTTTTTATCCTTTGTATTTTTACTTTTGTTGTCAACTTTTAAAAACATTTACCGTAAAAACTTACTTTTATAAACATCAAAACCACATCATATGAGATCTTAAAATATATTTTCAATATGTTAATTAATTTAGTATTCATACTCATTTCTTATCAAATATTTTGTTCAAGATGTGTATTAACAAGTATTAAGATAAGGAAAGTAATTTTTATTACTTCCTCTGCTAAATATTAAATGCAACAAAGGAATATTTTATATCTCACAAATAATACCCCTTTGTTGCAATAATATTTAACGGAGGAAGTATTTTTTATTTTTTTCTTTTTTCATTATTTTGTAGTGAGGTTGTATTATTTTTGGCCTTATTTGATTTGATATAAAATGTTTTTATGAAAAATGATTTCCTCAAATTTTCTCATTTCCCTGTATTAGGTTTATGAAGGGATGGAAAACAATTTTCCCAACAAATAAGGGAAGCCACATTAACCAGGCAAACCTCAATTTCTTAACATGAGAAACATCCCATGTTTTTTTGCTGAATCGTAAGTAAAGTGAGTTATATAAAAGTACTATATTTTTTGTTATACTACTTTTTATCTCTTCTTCTTCCTTCATCTTAATCCTTAGATCCAACCCACGACCCACCTCCAACTTCATCCTTTAGTCCCCACCCACAACCTACCTTAATCTTTGTCTAACTTCTTCCTCCACTTCCCACTATCCTCATCCCTCTTTGTCCTTCTTCATCCTCCTCCTCCATCGAAGTTGCTGAAGACTTCTTTTTGTAAAACACCATTTCCACCACCATATAATTAAACGTAAACTGTAGAAATAAAGGGCATCATAAAAAGGGCTGACAAAACGTGACCCAACCCAAAACCCGACCTGAAAATAGCGGGTTAGGGTTGAGTTTTTCGACCCGAAAACTTAAATGGGTCGACATGAACTCGACCTGAAAATTAAATGGGTTAGGTTAAGGTTGAAAATCCTAACCCGAAAATGACCCACATAACCCGAACTCATTTAAGTTTAAAACAAAAAAGAAAAAAAAAACCCAAAGCAAACCTTTAGCCCAACCCAAATCAAAATGACCAAAAACCAAAAACCCTAACCTCCTCTTCCTTTCTCACTTCACTTAGCTGTTTCTCATCCTTTCTCTCTCTTTAATTCCTAAAATCCTCTCTAATCTTTTGCAACCCCTTAATCCCTCTCCAATCTTTGAATTATTTTCATCAATCTACGTTTCCTGCTAAACACTACGCCTTCTTCTCAGCATCTCCTTCATCATCAATCCAAGGTATTTTTTGTTTTATGTATTTGTTTTATGAAAATTATGGTTTGGTCATGCTAAAATACAGTTTTACATGCTAATTATTGTTGTTAATTTATGATGAATTCTAGCTTGATTGTTAATTTGTTGATGTTGATTTCTGTTGTTAAATTTTTGTTTTGTATGTTTTCTTAAGAATTTATCATGCTAATTTGTGTTAATTTTTTTGTTGTATTTATAGGGTTTTACATGTTTTATACAGTTTTATTCTCTAAGAATGTTGTTTTTGTATGAAGTTGTCTACTTGTTTGATAATTAATGATTTGCATGTGTGTGAATATATCATGTACTCCGTATAAATTACTTAAATTTTGGTTTTAATTAATGGTTGTGTTATTTTTTAATGGCAGCAAGTTGCGGCCACTCAAATCCATCTTTGTTTCAGGGAGGAGAAGATTCATTCCACAATGGAGGATGGGCAAAACCAAGAGAATTGAAGATTGTATATAAAATCACTGTAGCTTTTGAAATCCAATTTGTAATTTGTTAAGTAGACTTGGTTTGTAATCTATTAAGTAATTTTTTTAGAAAATTTTATTTGGGATTAAATTGTTATTTTTCTTTAGAATTTTAAAATGCAATTGAATGAACAGAACAAAATTAGGTTGAGTCAATAAAATCAGGTTGGTCGAGTTGACCCAACCCGTATAAATCAACCTTTTCTATACCTAAAAATTTTTTTGGGTCAAATCAGGTCATTCTCGAGTTGACTTGAACCCGAAACTATCAGGTTCAGGTTGAGTTTTTCAACCCGAAAACTTAAATGGATCAGGTTCAGGTTGGGGGTCAACTGACCCGAAAGTAGCTGACCCGAACACGAACCCGATCTATTTGACACCCCTAATCATAAACCCCAAAGAATAAGATGTTATTCTTCCTCCATTATTAAGGCCCCTTGCCATCTCCAATTTTTCTATTGAACCATTAATTTCTCCATTAAAATACTACTATTTGTGCTTGATTCATTAATTTCTTAGACAATATTAATTGTTTAGGGTAAAAATACCCTATGCCACGTGGCCCAGTAGAATCATTACACGTGGCAGCCCACCAGAGGCCCAATAGGATCCAATCGGATGCTGACACGTGGCATCAAAACCCTAATCAGGGAACATGTCTCCCCCACTATAAATAGAGGAATCCTCCTCATTTATTGGGCAACATACACAAAAACCCGAGCAATATTAATTGCGGAATCTCTCTGAATCAGCGAGAAATATCTATTTACCTTCCGCACATTTACCCATCCGTCAATCATACTAACTTGAACGTTGGAGGCGAAACTCCACCAAACCGGAGTTTCGTGGTTTGCAGGTACAGAAGTCAGGCGCGCATACTCCGTACTGTAACTCTCCCGAGGGACTAAAAACACCCGAAACATTTGGCGCTGTCTGTAGGGAGAGTACTAAAGAGATGGCATCTGATGCTGTACCGAATGCAGAGGGCAGCCGGCCTCCGGCTGACACTGAGGTCCATACGGACCATGAGAGTGGCAATGGGGACGACTACGACGTCGAAACCTACATGGCTCCAGACGGGTCATTCTGTTCTAGGCGCACCCGTTCCAAGGAAACAAGGGAACGGGGTCACGACAAAGTTGGTCCCAGAAACCCAAGCGGCAAGCCTGTGGGACAACCCCAGGCGGCGGAGGGTGCTGCCCCCGTCACCAGAGACGAACTCATGAACCTCATGACTAGTATTAAGGAGGAAATCAAGGATATAATCAAGAAGTCAGCTGCTCCAGCAAGGGTCAGTCGGCAAAGAAGCCTTCTCCTTCCGGGAAGAAGCAAATCAAAGACCGGGTGCCTACTCCGCATCCCAAACCCAAGGGGACGGATGGGCCCCTGATCGATCTTTCGAAACTTCGTTTCCACGAACTGGGGCAACGGAAGGCCATCCGGCATACACAGTCGGATGGGTCAAAGAAGACTTTCTCTGACGCCCGGTTGATCATCCGGGAGAAGAGAAGTCAGAGCATGTCTCAGTCGGCCTCAACGTCGACCTACTCAGACAGTTTTCGAAATGCTTTAATGAAGCATTCAGAGACGCAACAGGGGATTGAGTCACGCAGTATATCTGCACGTACTGGCCCTCAAGTGATCCAGCAGCAGGCCCCGTATGTGCCCCAACAGCCATACATCCCGTATGGATCTCCATTCATGCAGTCGGCACCCTTTGGGGGTCAGGCGGCCTACTAGGTCCAGCCTATGGGCTGGCAGCTCCGACTGCTAAACCTTGGGGAACAGCCTTCGGATTTCTCCCGGGAGATAACCGAGGCGGTGCTACCGACCAAGGTTAAGAATGTGTTGGTTGGTGCCTACGACGGTACCACCAACCCAAAAGACCACCTAATGGCATACACCAACCTCATGTACCTACAGGGGTTGGATGACACCGCCTGGTGTAGATGCTTCCTGGCTACATTGAAGGGCATAGCCAAGCGATGGTTTGGCAACTTGCCGGCTGGGTGCATCAATAACTTTAAGACACTTGCATACCTGTTTGCGTCCAACTTTTCCACGAATATCCCTGCTAAAAAGACAAGTCTCGACCTAGGTGCTATCCAGCAGGGTGACAAGGAGAGACTTCGGTCCTATGTCAGGCAGTTCAATCTGATGAGAATTCAGATTCAGGGGCTGTCTAACGAAGTTGCATATACAGACTTCTTCAAGGGTCTGAAGGATGGGTCAGCTTTCAAATTTGAACTGGTCGCAAGAGGGTAGCCACCCTCCAAGAGGCGCTGATGGAGGTGGAGGCCTACATACAGGCAACTGAACTCTGCTCTATCAAGCATCCGTCGGAACCCAAGCGGTCCGACAGGAGGGACAGCCGGCCTAACCAGCCGACCGAAAAAGAAGAAAATAAAAGAAAAGAAGGCTGGGAAGCTGACCGCCCAGGTCAGCCGTCCCAGAAGAAGAAAGGAAGTTGGAACTGTAGGTCCCCAAGTACGAGTTCAACAAAGACTGCTCCTCCATCCTCATGGAGATAAAGGACCGGTTGACAATCGAAAAACCGGCTGTAATGAAAAGCTCTGTGAAGAATAGAGACAAAAGCAAGTATTGCCAGTTCCATGAGGACGTCGGCCATGATACCAATGGTTGCTATAGCCTCAGGCGGCTATTGGACCGTCTGGCTGATGAAGGGGCCCTGGAGTCCTATCAAGTCTAAGGGCAATCCCAAATCATGTGGGGGACAGCTGTCCAAGAAACCGGCTGCTAGCTCTGAAACGGATGAAGAGTATATCTTCACCATTGTAGGCGGCTTCGCAAGCGGAGGTCCTACTATCCGGGGTGCCAAGGATAACATTCGGAAATTATCCAACCCAGAAGATGAAGGCCAGGCGTCGATAGACACCTTCCCTGAGGTCTTTATCTCTGAGAAGGATAGGGGCATGGTCAGGCGGCCCCACGATGACCCCCCGGTCATCGAATGTAAAGTTGTCAATCAACGAGTTGGCCGGATCTTAATCGATACCGGGAGCTCGTCTGACCTAATCAGTTACCAGTGCTTGACAAAACTCAAGTACAAGCCTAGCAGCATGCACAAGGCTCCCCATCCCCTAGTTGGCTTTGGGGGAGGGGTAGTGCATCCGGTGGGAAAGATTGACCTACCCATCCGGCTAGGAGGCAAAGGGGATGGGCGGCACATGGTCGTCAAGTTCTTGGTGGTCGAGGAATTGACCGCCTACAACCTTATTCTGGGCCACCCCACCCTCAACGAGTCCAAGGCTGTCATCATCCCATCTCTTATGATGATCAAGTTTTAGAGGGATGATGGATCAGTTGGTGCCCTAAGCGGGGATTAGAAGACGGCTAGGGAGTGTTACCTCTTAGACGTCAGGCCGACTGTTACCTCAGCCGGTTATCACGAGGAACCTGCTAACCTTGAAGAAATGCCAACCCCCAAGGCAGCCGGAAAAAAAAGCGATAGGCGGACCAATTGGCCCCCGCTAGAAAAACAAAATAGCAATCACTAGCCGGGGAACGGCCGGATGACTCCTGACCCCAGCCGGCTGGTGAGAGCATTGATGTCATCTTGGACGACAGCTGCCCTGACAGAACGATCAAAGTTGGGACGGTTGCTCTTGAAAAGTTGGGGGCAGACTTGCTCCAACTTCTGAAAGAATTCAAAGACATCTTTGCCTTTGAAGTAGAAGAGATGTCAGGCGTCAGCTCGGATCTAGCTGTCCACAAGTTAGCTGTGGATCCCAAAATAAAGTCGGTTAGGCAAAAGAAGAGAGATCATGGTGAGGAAAAGTCTCAGGCGGCAGCCGCCGAAGTAAAAAAGCTTCTGGATGCTGGGTTCATTCGGCAATGCTACTACCCGGATTGGGTAGCAAATGTTGTCCTTGTCAAGAAGCCGAATGGTACCTAGCGGATGTGTGTAGATTACACAGATCTGAACAAGGCATGTCCGAAGGATAGTTACCCCCTTCCAAAGATCGACAACCTGATCGACTATACAGCCGGCCATGCCTTGATGAGTTTTATGGATGCCTACTCAGGCTTCCACCAGATTCCCCTATGGAAGAAGGATCAGGAAAAGACGGCCTTCGTCACTGATCAGGGCTTGTACTGCTACACGGTGATGCCATTTGGGTTGAAAAATGCGCTTGCTACCTTCTAACGAATGATAAACACGGTTTTCATCAATCAAATCGGAAGGAATGTAGAGGCGTACATTGATAACATGATAGTCAAATCCAAGCTACAGGCGGGTCACAAAGCCGACCTCCGAGAAACCTTCACCACCCTCAGGCGACATAAGGTCATGCTTAATCCCAAGAAGTGTGTCTTTGGTGTTGAGTCTGGGAAGTTTCTCGGATTTCTGATTGATCAAAGAGGCATAGAGGCCAATCCGGAAAAGGTACAGGCGGTGATTGACATGCAATCACCTCGCACCGTCAAGGAGTCCTAGAAGCTAACAGGTTGCCTGCCGGCATTAGGAAGATTCCTCAGTCGGTCAGGTGACAAGTGCCTTTATTTCTTCCAAGCAATCAAGAAGAGGTCTAGATTTGAATGGGGGAAAGAAGCTGAGGCGACATTTCAGAGGTTAAAGCAACACTTGCATTCTTTGCCAAGGCTAGTGAGCCCCCTGCCTAAGGAGGTTCTCTACATGTACCTAGCCGTCTCAGATCACTCCCTTAGTGCCGTCCTCCTTGCCGAGAGAGACGGCAAGCAGCTCCCGGTGTATTTCATCAGTCATACACTCAGGAATGCCGAGCTCCGGTACCCAATGATCGAAAAATTTGGGCTGGCTCTTTACAAAGCTATCAAACGGTTGAATCCTTACTTCTTGGCTCACCCAGTAACTGTCTATACTGATCAGCCACTCAAGCGTCCAATGACTACCATAGAGTCATCCGGCAGAATGATCAAGTGGGCTGTTGAAATGCAAAGCCTAAAAATAACTTTTGAACCAAGGCGGGCAGTGAAAGGTCAGGCGTTTACAGACTTCATTATTGAAATGACTAGGCCGGCACAGCCAGAGAATACCGATCAGGTTTGGAAGTTATTCGTAGACGGAAGCTCTACCTCGAGCGACTGTGGTGCAGGCGTAATTTGCAAATCTCCGGAAGGAGATACTTATGAGTATGCACTACGGTTCAAGTTTCAAGCTTCAAACAATGAAGCTGAGTATGAAGTCCTGCTAGCCGGAATACGCATGTGTAAGGCGGCAGGGGCAAGAAAAGTTGACGCATGTTCTGATTCCCAATTGACTGTTAGCCAATTCAATGGTGACTATGAGGCCACCCATCCGGTAATGATCAAATACCTTCAGGCAGTCAAAGATAAGGCGGGGACACTTGACAAATTCCATCTAAGTCAGGTGCCCTGGTCAGAAAATAATCAGGCGGATGCTCTATCCAAATTGGCCTCATCCGCCAATTGTGACGCGCCTAGGTCAGTCTTCTGGGAGGTCATGGAAAAAAGAAGTATTGAGCATGACCCCATTGGAAGATTCGACCGAAGCTCTACCTGGATGGACCCCATCCGGAATTATTTGGTAGACGGAACCTTGCCGGTTGCCTCTTCAGAAGCGGCAGCACTTAAAAAACGAGCTTTGAGCTTTGAAATGTACAAGGGAGAACTCTTCAGAAAGGGTTACCTCCAGCCGTTACTGAAGTGTGTTACCCCAGAAAGGGGAAAGGAGGTGCTAGAGGATCTGCATGCGGGCTTTTGTGCTTCACATATAGGCGGCAGGTCTCTAGCAAAGAGGGTCAGGCGGCAAGGTTACTTTTGGCCTACCCTTGAGGCAAACGCCATGGAATTGGTAAGGAAATGTGACATGTGCCAGAGATTTGGAAGGCTCATACACCGTCCGGCAACAGATCTTACGGCTATCTACAGCCCGGTTCCATTTGCAAAATGGGGCATGGACATCCTAGGTCCCTATACGCCTGCCACAGGCGGCAGAAGATACATTCTGGTGGCTGTAGACTACTTCACCAAATGGGTTGAGACTGAGGCGGTCAAAGGCATCAAGACAAAGGATGTTATCTCCTTCATCTGGAGGAATATCATTACCCGGTTTAGGGTTCCCATGTCTATGGTGTTTGACAACGGTCAACAATTTGAAACGCCTACCCTCAAAAATTGGTTGGGAGATCAGGGGATCTCACATTGTTTTGCATCTGTTGGCCGGTCCCAAGCAAACGGCCAAGTTGAAGCCTTAAACAAGCTCATCTCAAACGGCATAAAAAAGAAGATTGAAAGAGCCGGTGGACTTTGGGCGGATGAGTTACCTCACGTCCTTTGGGCCATCAGAACAACTGAAAAGGGGGCAACCGGTGAAACCCGTTTCTCATGACATACGACACTGAAGCCGTCTTGCCAATTGAGCTTTATGAGCCAACACTCCGAATCATGCTCTATGATGAAGAGGCTAATTAGGAGGCCATGTGTCTTGCATTGGATTCTCTCCCGGAGCGCAAGGGCAATGCCGCCTTGCGTCATGAGATATACCGTCTGAGAATGACGAGGGCGTATAACAGAAGAGTACACAAGCGGCCCCTCAAAGTGGGGGACTTTGTGCTACAAAAAATGGAGTCAACCGGTAGGGCAAATGAACAAGGAAAGCTAACCCCAAATTGGGAAGGCCCCTACCGGATTTTTGAAGAAGTTAGAGACGGCACCTACCGCCTGGAAACACCAGACGGTAGGCAGTTAGCCAGAACCTGGAATGTAGACAACTTGAAAAAGTACTAATTCTAGGGAAATCGTAATTATTTTTTGTAAATAGAGTAAATGAACAAAAGGATACTTTATTTCAATTTTTTGTATATAGTCACATGTGCAATGCATAACCAGGCACCTTTTAAAGTCCCCTATGCAAGGCACAACCGGGCACCTTTTAAAGTCCCATGTGCAATGCACAACCGGGCACCTCTTAAGTACCCTGTGCAATGCACAACCGGGCATGAATTTCCTCAAACGTTAAAATGCTAAGTACCTAACTTAGCCATTTAAAGGCATAAAGCCAGCATATCTTAAGCCGCCTGCTTTAAATTCAAAACAGGCATCCGGCGACGCCCATCTCGGTGAATTCGTTGAAGAGAACATCTCCCTTTCGGGTGGTACATTGTTCTACGCTATTGCACCAAGACAATATAAACGGTGACTTAAATCTTGCTAAGCAACTGGCCCCCGCTTCTACCCCGAATTTCACTAAATCATCTTAAAATTGAAATTGGCTATCGCCCCAAGGCCATACAGCCGATATACTTTGCCTTATATTGCAACCGGTATTGCCCCTAGGTAATACAGCCGGCCATTGACAAAAGCGTCGCAGCTACATTTGTGCCTGGTTATTGCTCAAAAGCAATACAAGCGGTAATCCACATATTTGTATATATCCGGATACCATTCAAAGCGCATGCGTCCAGTTCAGTTCCGCCTGCATGCCACCAATGGCATTGAATTGAGCCCGCGCAGGTGGCAAATTCAACTAACCAATCCTGTTGTACGACGGTCAAGGACCGCCTAATCGTTTGTCTGGATGCTTATGGACGGCTTCCTGCTTAGAGTTGGTAACTATAAGCAAACAACCATCCAGGGGCAAACAGGTCTCACACATCCGGCATATCGCATGATTTGATGCAAGGCAAAGTGCAAAAAAAAAAATTAAGAGAATTGAAAATATGCAAAGCAAACCGACATAGTCGGTAAATATATATATTAAAATATTTTATTCAAATGTTAACCGGACCCCCGTCCGGGAAAAGTGATACAAAAATTCACGGCTCGCAGGCCGGTTAGAAAAAGGAGGAAAGAAAAATAAATCCTACTTTTGTTGCTGCTCCGGCTGCTGGTCTTGACCGGCATTAGGGGCGTCTTGGGTCTGCTGGAGTTGAGTTTCCTCACCTGGCACCCCTCCATCTGTCTGCTCCTCCCCTACGCCGGCCCATTCCTCAAACGGCGCCGGTTACTGAAGCCTGAGAACTTGAACATCAAATACTTCTGTTGCGTATATGTACCTCAAGTCGAAAAAGGCGTAGTCGGTCTCCGGGTGGATCACGGACCACGCCATCTTCATGCGTGCTTCGCAGTCACGCTCGTTCTCGTTGACCAGTCGGGTCTGCTCAGCCGCCTGCTGGTCTAGAGCCTCCTTTTTGGACTTAACCAAATCATTTTTGGCTTTGTCAAGCTCCCCCTCCAGCCGGGTGATCTCCTCCTTCAACCCAGCTTTCTCCTTCTCCGCATCCTTCAGAGCTTGGAGGTCAGTTTTGAGCTGGTCGATCTGGAGCTGTCGGTCAGCAGCCGTCTTGTTGGCGGTATCAGCAGCAGCCATTAGCTGCTGGATGAGTTCCTCCTGTTTCATCTCCCGGGATTTAGTGTGGATTTCAAGCATTAGGGAGTTGTATTGACAGACATCAATAATTCAATTTTGCATGTCCGGCCAGCGAGAAGCGGTATCTGCATCATGAGACATATCGGTTAAGTGTTGGGATTAAACGACTCCTACATTCAGCCAGTTCCCGACCGAGTCTCCCGATTGAGAAGTATGAGATTTGACTCGAACTGGCCTAAGCGGCCAGGGGGGGTCAATAGTGGAGTCCATACCTTGGTCATCAGGCTGAGGGGTGCCACCACCCCCAATCGCATTGGAGCCGGAAGCAATACTCGGCACCCGGCTAGAAGGAGCAGGCTCCCTAGATCTAGTCGGCTCAGAGCTTAGGCCTAGGCTCTGGAGACTTTTTCCTGTGGTTGTGGGCCTCTCAGGAGCCGGTGTTCTGCCAACTGATGATGGTGCAGGGCCGCCTGAGACCCTGCGCCTTTGTGAAGGCGGTTGAGGAAGCTCCCCACCCGGTCTCACCATCTGGCGAATGGAGCGGGGAACGTTCTGGCTTCCCGTCTGTAAAAAACAATCAACAAGTTAGTATCAGTTATTTGCAAGATATACAGACGGCATACGGACAGCCGGTGCTAACCCCACTGGCCCGGGTTGCAAGTTAAGCTCGCTTCTGTTCGAGCTGCTCTTTCCTGATCTCAGCAGCTGACTTAGTCGGCGTCATCTCAGGAGGAGTCATTTCTAGCCCTTTCTTTGCAAAATAGCAAGAAAATGTTAGCATCATTTAAACATCATACAAACGGCATAAATTGCCGGTAAAGCATTAGACCTTTGTCCCAAAAAGTGTTGAGACCGCAGGCGGAGAGGAACGCCTCGCTTTTGAACCAGTCCGGATGAGGGATCCAGAATAGAGGGACAATGATTTGTGTCCCATCATCCAAAGGCTCGGTGGTTTTCTTAAATAGCCCCGGCTCCATTATGGTATCCCAAGCCTCAGCCGGAACCCTTGGTAGGGCGCACTTCTTTCCTAGAAGAGCCGGGTTCTTATTGTAACGGCGCATCCGGTGATTAGCAGCCGTCGAAGGAGAAGAGACATAATAAAACTTGCTCTTCCAAATCGTCCACTTGGAGGGATTCTCCAAGGTCATCATATATTCCGGATGAGTGGTGAGAGTGTACCAAGCATTCCAGCCGCCTGGGGCACAGTTTAAGTAGTGCATATGCGCGAACGCCTCCCAGCTAGGCGTCACGTCCTGCATCTCGCAAGCGGCAATATAACCAATGATGTTCACCCAAGAGTTGGGTGTAAGCTGCCAGACCCCCAAGTCAAAGCCTCTTAAAATGGCTTTTATGCATCTGTGAAGGGGGAACCGGAGGCCAGCTTTGAATGCCGCCTCATAGCAGCCGAAGTAATTGTCGGCATGTTCTAAGTCATCCTCCCAAACGACTGATGAGCTTGCAGGCGGGACACCCAACTCTCAGCCGTCCCCTATCGGACGTTTTTCCAAAAATGCTAGGAGTGTTGCGTTTAACGTCACAACATCCCAGGCGCTCATGTGCGCTTCCATTGGATTGTTTACTGAAGGCCAGTTGTATGCCTCCTCATTCACTTGTGGGTCATCCGGTGTCATGGTGGACTCTGTAGATCCGGCTTCTTGATCGGTTTCATCACTTGAGCTCCCAGATTCCTCCAAAATCTCATCACTAGGCGTGCTTGGAACACCTGGTTGATCAAAGGGAACGTCTTCAACCGGTGTACCGGCTGAATCATCTGATTTGTACTCGGGGTCAACAGCCGTTTTCCTTGTCCGAGCCATTCTGTCCTGCACATGAATAGAGACGGTCGGACTTGCAGAAAAGTAAGGGTGTTCCATGCACCCCCAGACGGCATCCCCAGTCCTAGATTCAGCCGTATCCGGTGACCGGTTGACAACTGCCCTAGGCTGTGCCGTGTGTGCATTGGGAGAGTCCATTGTTCCCTAACCTATACAATCGGTAAACTTAAGAGGTTACAAAAGGGGTAAAGGTGATACCTTGAATTTATGAAGACGGTTAAAGGAGACTTGATTGCTGAGTTCCCAAGATGTGGCTTGAAGATGCCACAGGCGGAGAAGTCCGTTTGAGTTTAAAAAAACCTGAAACACAAAGACGGTCAGGCATTTTGGAAACATTTCAGGCAGAGATACCCCAAGTGGTATCATAATAGCTTGCCCAAAGATACCCCAGGCAGTATCAAGGAAGCTTGTTCAAAGATACCACAAACGGTATCACAAAGTTTTATTCAATGATACCCCATGCGGGATCAATGAAGATCATTCAGAAAAATCCCAGTCGGGACATCTCCGTCTGAGGGTCCATTGAATGGTTATAAAAAACCAAGGATGCCTCAAGCGTTAATTGGTGAGGGTTGCTAAAAGACCCCCCTGACGGCATGAGAGCCGTCTGAGGGTGTTCAAAGAGCAGGTCATGAGCAAGCTATGAAGACCATTGCTCAAACACCCCCCAGGCGGTATAAGCCCGGCTAAGGGTGCGAAGGATCCAAGTCTTGAGGCATAGCTTGCATATACCCCAGACGGACCATAACCGTCTGTGGGTCTGGATTTGAAGGATCTTGTTTGAAGATACCCCAGGCGGCTCCTTGCCGTCTGAGGGTCTATGAAATGAGTTTTTTGATAGGCAATTGTTTGAAGATGGCTCATACGGAATTTTTCCGGTTGAGGGTCTATTGAATGCAAAATATTATTGTCTGAAGATGCCCCAGGCGGCATGTACCCGTCTGTGGGTCTATCATTTGGAGAGCAAGGTTTGAAGATGCCCCAGACGGCATGTAACCGTCTGTAGGTCTTTTGAGTGCAACTCCATGAAGACCAATCTAAAGAAGCACAAGCGATATTTCACCGTCTGTGGGGCTATGGTATGCATTTAGTGGATAGTCCATTGTTCAAGGATACCTCAGACGGTCCACAATCGTCTGAGGGTCTATCTTTGAGGATCATAGTTTGAAGATTCCCCAGACGGTCCACACCGTCTGTGGGTCTACCAAATGCAAAACATAAAAAGGGCTTATGGAGTCCCAGGCGGTGTAAGACCGTCGGTGGTTCTACTCAAGCTAAGAAAGGAAATCAAGTCAGACGGTACCTGGGTGAATTAAGTGAAGAAGTCCTCAACCGGTATCCGTATGCGTTTGAATGAAGCGACTGGTTACACAAATTAGCAGCCGGTGTCAGAGCTCTCAAGAAATTTCTGAAAAAAATTGTAAAGTGAAGAGGAGAGAGGGGGTACGCCTCAATTTATAGGCAAAGTCCAGAAGGTGACCTTCTGCCTTAACTTTTCAAAATTTGAATCTAGGAGAGAGGCGGGAAGCAACTCAATCGTTGCCTCCCTTATGCTTGACACCTATCACATGTGACACGTGGTTACGCCGCGTCACACCTGTGAGGGGCAAATGTTTAGGGTAAAAATACCCTATGCCATGTGGCCAAGTAGAATCATGGCACGTGGCAGCCCACCAGAGGCCCAACAGGATCCAATCGGATGCTGACATGTGGCATCAAAACCCTAATCAGGGAACATGTCTCCCCCACTATAAATAGAGGAATCCTCCTCATTTATTGGGCATTCATAAATACATACACAAAAACCCGAGCATTATTAATTGCGGAATCTCTCTGAATCAGCGAGAAATATCTATTTACCTTCCCTACATTTACCCATCCGTCAATCATACTAACTTGATCGTTTAAGGCGGAACTCCACCCAACCGGAGTTTCATGGTTTTGCAGGTATAGAAGTCAGGCGCGCATACTCCGTATTGTAACTCTCCCGAAGGACTAAAGACACCCGAAACATTAACCATGACTTATTAGATAAAATGACAAATTTATCCCCTTAAGATGTTTGAAATGTTTCTTAAATTGAGAAACTTGTATTTTCTCACTTTTTTGTCCCTCCTTATCTCCTTTTTACTTTTGTCTATTCATCCTCACATTTCCAATTTTTTTTTTTTAAATAACTTGCCTTGAAAATGACCACACGAGGAAAAACTAATTATCAACTATAATTTTTCATGAAAATTTGCTTCCCATAAAACTAATATTTTTTATTGAAAGTGTTTTGACATCAAACCAATCGAAATCTCGATGAAACTTTAAGTATTATTATAAATTTAGATTAAACTAAACACACTCTAGCTCATGCTCAATTTGTCCAACTTGGAGCATTTTCACTATTTTTCAACTATATCTAAAGGTGTTAAAAACTAACTCAAATCGGCCCATTTGACCCCCCAAAAAAAGATAAATATTAAACTTCGACGCCTATGGACACTGAAAGCATCACAAGACCATCAGCACAATAGTCTACTTCCATCAGTTTGAAAAGTAGAAATTTAATTGCACTTCGCCCAGCAAATTAAAATCATACAAATAAACACAGCACAATGCACAAATGAAGTTCATTAGATTTTATTCAAACTAACATATCCAGCAAGCATAGAAACCACGCTCCCAGCCTCATGTCTGTTGCCATCCTCACATAAGAATCATAGCTGCTGGCTCAAAAGGTACCAAAATAAAAAAAAAAAAAAAAAAAAAAAAACTTACGTAGCAAACATCATAACATGCTAAAAACGGGAATGGTCTAGGCTATTCATCAAACCCTGAAACAGTCTAACCAGAGACGAAGTGTTCCGCCTCTTATCGATAGGAAAAATCAAGCCCAAGCATGTAGCCCAACAGTTGATTTGCCCACCTGATACAAAAAAATATAAACTCAGAAGCAAACAAAGTATGAGAAGCCACAATCTTAGAATTATCCTACTAATAGCTGCTTAAAAAAACAGATCACACAGGCTTAGTAACAACCTCACGGAAATTTTACAGCAAACAGAACACATAAAGTTCTGCCTCCTCAGTAAACAAGTGTCGAATGCTGCTGCTTGGCGATATTTGCATCTCCACCTCCCGTCACTTGACCAGAAAGCTCAACAAGATCCATCTGTCAAATAAAAATAGATAAGTAAAGATCTACCTAAAGCTCTAATGCAACAACACCTACTGTTGTTTAAAGAATCTCAAAAAAAAAAAAAAAAACAAAAAAAACAAAAAAAAAAAAAAAAAAAAAAAAACCCTAATTTAATATTGTTGACATCGTGTCATATTCTGACCAAGCAGCAGCTGCCAAACTAACCCCAGCAGCTTGCTCAATGGTGCAAGAGTGGCACATGTGCACTAGTGAGGCAGCAAAGTCTCCATCAAAGGTAGGAAGTTGTCCATGCTGATAAGCACCACTTGCATCTCCACCTTGCATAGCAAGACCAGTGAGTGTAACAAGATCCGCCTGTCAGGAACAACGAATAAAGTATAAAGCTTAACAAGATCCAACTGGTAAGTTGTAATGCAGGATCTATTGTGTAGAGTTAATATCAAAATATCAAAACCTCATTTAATATTGTTGACAACTGGTCACATTTTGACTGAGCAGCAGCTGCCAAACTGACCCCGACAGCTCGTTCACCAGTGCAGGGGATTTTTCCCACCCCCGGCACAGGTAATGAAGAAAAGGAAGTTAATTGCTAGTCAGAATCCTGATAGACTCCTCCATCATCAGAGAACTCATCAAAGGACCTCATGTCCAACTGGTAGCGTAGGATCCCACCTATCCCACCAAAACCACGGCAGAATTGTGACCCTTCTTGTGATTTGTTGGTAACAAATTCAAGAGAACAACCAAAATTCTTATACTCATTAGCAAACCACTCCAACAATGGCATTTGCTCCTGAATTTCCAGATCAGCCCCAGTTTCTGAATCGCGGAAGTTGTTCTGATCAGCCTCCTGCTCCTTGTTCAAGTGTTTGACGATTAACTCACCTGTAACAATATTTTTCAGCTCAAACCTCATTATATCTAAATTCTCCCAAACAATCAGTGTCTCCACTGCACCCATCTCCAAAGCTTTCAGCGTGTCATCCACTCCAAAAACATACTTCCCTGTATCCTGACTAATTTCCTCAAAGTACTTCCCAATCAACTTCTTCTCTTGGATAAACTTCACATTGGCAAGAATTTCAGCAGACAGCTCAATTGCTTGATTGAAACCACTTTCCCCTCCATAAGAAACATCCACAACATTTAGTATCTTTGCTTGAAGCCGAGGATCAAACATGTCTGATTGACTGAGCTCAGTCTTGAAATCAGCAGAACCAGCAAGAATAAGCCCAGAAACATTAGGTTGGCTGGTTTGTGGATTGATGTAAAACTGTGTAGCAAGCTCTGCTGTCTTCCTCACATAATTATGGCGCTTCTCCATTCGAAGACGTGCAAACCGCAGCGCTGACTGACCACCTCGGCCGTGTTTCTTTGGCAAGTCAACGCTAAATTTGTGAAGCACCTCTCTAGTGTTGCCACTAAGAGTCCCAAAAAGGGTTCCATTCCCATCCATCACAATAAACCCAAATTTGTCATCAGATTCAAGCAGTTCATTGAGAGCTTCGGTATGGAACTTGTTGTCACAAAGGTAAAGAGATGCATTGATGGGCTTGAAAGGTTCAAAGTCAATAGTAACTTTCTTTTCTTTGCCATCTTCAGTTATAATTGTACCTGTGTAAAGAACAAGTCCATTGGCGGGCACCCTGTTGTAAAGCTTCAATCTTTGCTGAGCAGATGTGATGGCACCAAGTACAGACTGACGATTAACCCTACTTTTAATATTGGATGCAGTTCCAAATTCATCACCAAGCATTTTGGTAACTCGGGATATTTGATCACGTGGAGGAATGATCAATGATATCATGCTGGTGCCATTTCCTCTCGCAGCTTCCAACGCTTTGATCAACTTCTTGATCTTCCAGATTGCAATGTTCTTGTCGGTTTCTTGACCATCACCAAATGTCATTGTCATTTTGTCAAAACTCTAACAAAAGTATCTGTGAACAAGTTGTAAACTTCAGTAGGTGCACCACAGGAAGAAAAAGGTCACTGCCAAGGCAGCTGGTATAATGTACTCCTCTCTCTCTCTTGTTGAGGTTAAGCAAAAATAAGAGAAACAAAGTCAAGCCATTTAATTAATTGTACAACAGTCCCTGACCTCTAGAATTACTATTCCAATGCGGCTTCAAAAATCATTAAACAGCTAATTAATGAATTTTAGGTATCAGTTGGAGTTTTAAAACAGAAAAAAATCAGGAAAGGTTGGGTCTTTCAACTAAAAAGGCCCAAAATACTTATCAAGGAGGCATCACCATTTTATGAAGTGGTTTGGTTTGGTGTAAAAACTATCCATTTACAATTACTTCCTCTTGTTGTTAGGAAGCAAACAAAAGAAATCGGCTAGGAATTGTATTTTCCCTTGAAATAATGTTTTATTCCATAAAAATATTTTTTCATCGAAATATTTTCAACCAAACCAAACAAAGGCACAGATCAACTCAAGACGTAGAAACATAGTAACAATATAGATATAGACTATAGAGTGATCCGAAAACAAATACAAAAATCACAGTTGGTCAAAATAATTTTTTAAAGAGCACAACTGTTATTGAATCTACAAGCACGCAAACAGCAAAAGCAGACAAATGTAAATTCATCTGCAATCAGCGAAGATGCAATCAACTTATCAACTATCATAATCACCCATATAAATATACACCAAATCATATGTATATGCAAGGATTACACCAGTCACATCATTCAAAGTCACCAGTTTCTCTTTATACTACTTGATCAAAGAGTGAAATCAGTACAAAGTCTTATATATAAAGCCATTGTCTTTCTTGAGTTTCTTCAGGACTTCCAACTAGTTAATTTATTCCCAAAATGGAGTTCAATTATCATTTAGGGACTAATGAATTCTTGTTGTACATGTAGTATAGGAGTTCATTGATGATAAGAAAGCATTCCTTGGTCCCATCCTTATCAAAAACTTATTCCCATGTAACATATTGCAGGGGAAAAAATAATCCTTTCTAATCATCAAAAATAATTTCGGTGAATGGAAGTTGCTTATTTTCTTCTTTTCATAAAGGCAATTAGCCAAGTTTTGATACAGGTACTAAATTAAACAACCAACAAATACAAAGGTGACTAAACATACAATAGAAATCTTTCTTGAGTTCGATTCGGGAGTCAGTCAGTTGGTTTTGAGAGAAAGATTAGATTGAGTTAATAGTCTTGATATTCGAATTATATATGGCCTGATTTCTTAACATTATTGATTTCTGCGACGAAAGCGCAATTCTTTACTTGATTGTTCGATTTGGAGGTCAGATGGTTTTGAGGTAAAGATAAGGTTGTATTGAATATTCTCAATTTAAAATCGTGAGCATATAAATATTTAGATCTACTGTATCACATATTCAGCTAGTAAATAATTAGTATCATCATAATTAATTCCAAACAGACACTCCACGTATCCTCTAAAATGAATTCTCTAATATAAGAATCACCAACAAAATTATCATCACCAACAGAATAGAAGAATTAAATAACACAACACAAACAACTTGATCAATCAGAAACCCACCAAATTTCATAAAATCCAAACAAGGACAAAAACAAATATATTCACATCATAAAAACATATTTAATAAAAATAAAAAAATAAAAAAAAAAAACAACAACAACAACAACAAATTAATTACTTAATTAAATACAAAATAATTTATTTTTTTAACATTTTGTCGTAATAATTAAAAAAAAATCATAAACATTCAATTACGCAAAAAGAATCAAAACATCAATTATTTAACTAAAAAATCACTTATCTAAGATAAATCATTGACAATTACGATAAAAAAAAATATCAAAACATCAAACAATTCAACAACAGAAATCATTTATCAAACATGATCATAGACAATTACGATAAAAAAAAAAGAATCAAAACATCAATAAATTCAAAAACAAACAAGAGAAAGAGAGAAATACCCGAAAGATAAGTTGCGTGGAAGATCGATCAAATGATCGATCAAGAAAACCCTAAGCAATGAAAAATGTTAGTTTGGCCTCTTTTTTCTCTCAAAAAATGCGGTGGTAGAGAAATAATATTTGTTTTTTTTTTTTTTGAGAAGAGAGAAATAATATTTGTTGGGAAAGAGTGAGTTTGAATTTATAAGGAATAAGGAGGTCGAGAAATTCCCGTCAAAAAAAAAAAGGAGGTCGAGAAATTTCTGAGTAGAAAGACGTAAGAGGTGTTTACTGTGGCAAGGACATGTATGTAAAATGTATTGTTACACGCGGATTAATATGGTCGACTCTACACATTTCATAAATTTTGGAATAAATACTTTTCACCTTTTGGACTATTCCGCTTAATTGGTGATAGAGGTGATCAAAGGGCGGGTGCCATGGCAACCGTTTGCTCGGGTCGAGTTTCGGACTGAAAATTGCTTGTATAAACCCATAACGTAGGTTAGACAATACAAATTTTTCCCTACACTCATGTGCAGGCAGCACTATCTGCACCCCCTCTCTCCGCGTCATTTTAAAGTTTTTCAGCTTCGGATCACATGTAAACTGATTAATGTTATATACTTCCTCCGTTTTTTATTTATAGCATCATAAGGACTTTTACACTATACACATAATCTTCTTTGACCATCTTTTGTGATTTATTCATAAAGAAAAATATAGTCATGTGGGATGTAGTTAGATTCGTCTCAAAATCTACTTTTCAAATATCAAATTTTTATAATTTTTACAAAAATATAATTAAAGATGTTGATAGTCAAAGTAATGCATTGGCAAGCGTGAAATCTAGGGGTGGCAACGAATTAGATTCGGATCGGGTGGAGCTTCACCCGCATCCATTATTCCAATTGCTCCATCAATATCTGTTTAGGGTAAAAATACCCTATGCCACGTGGCCCAATAGCATGATGACACGTGGCAGCCCACCAGAGGCCCAACGGGATCCAACCGGATGCTGACACGTGGCATTGTACCCCCAATGGGGGAGCAGATCTCCATCTGCTATAAATAGAGGAAATTCCTCATTTATTACGGATTCATAAATTCATTCATAAATACATACACCAAAAAACCAAGCAATATTAATTGCGGAATCTCTCTGAATCAGGGAGAAAAACCCATTTACTTTCCGCACTTTTACCCATCCGGAACCATACTAACTTGATCGTCGGAGGCGGAACTCCACCCAACCGGAGTTTCGTGGTTTTGCAGGTAGAAACGTCAGGCGCGCATACTCAGGATTGTAACTCTCCCGAGGGACTCTAAAAAAGCCCAAAATATTTGGCCCTTTACAAAGCAGTCAAGCGGTTGGAACCCTATTTTTTGGCTCGTCTAGTGATTGTCTATACTGACCAGCCACTCAAGCGTCCAACGACTACTATAGAGTCATCCGACAGAATGATTAAGTGGGCCGTGAAATACAAAGCCTGGAGATAACTTTTGAACCTAGGCGGGCAGTGAAAGGTCAAGAGTTTGCCGACTTCATTGTCGAAATGACCAGGCTAGTATAGCCGGAAAATACTGATCAGGTTTGGAAGTTATTCGTAGACGGTAGTTCTACAATGAACGTCTGTGGTGCAGGCGTAATTTGCAAATCTCCGAAAGGGGATACATATGAATATGCACTGTGGTTCAAGTTTCAAGCTTCAAACGATGAAGCTGAGTATGAGGCCCTTCTAGCTAGTATACGCATGTGTAAGGCAGCAGGGGCAAGGGAAGTTGACGCCTGCTCAGATTCTCAACTGATTGTTAGCTAATTCAATGGTGACTATGAGGCCACCCATCCGGCAATGATTAAGTACCTGCAGGCGGTCAAAGAGGAGGCTAGGACACTTGATGACTTTCATCTAAGTCAGGTGCCCCGGTCAGAGAACAATCAGGCGGATGCATTGTCTAAACTGGCCTCATCCGTCACTTGTGATACGCCTAGGTCAGTCTTTTGGGAGGTTATGGAAAAAAGAAGCATTGAACATGATCCCATTGGTGTTCTAGACCGAAGCTCTACCTGGATGGACCCTATCCGAGATTATTTGGTAGACGACACTCTGCCGGATGCCCCTTCAGAGGCGGCAGCATTGAAGAAGCGATCTTTGAGCTTCGAAATGTACAAGGGGGAGCTCTTCAAAAAGGGTTACCTCTAGCCGTTGCTGAAGTGTGTTACCCCTGAAAGGGGAAAAGAGGTGCTAGAGGATATGCATGCGGGCTTTTGTGCATCACACATAGGCGACAGAACTCTAGCAAAGAGGGCCAGGCGACAAGGCTACTTTTGGCCCACTCTTGAGGCAAACACCATAAAATTGGTGAAGAAGTGTGACAAGTGCCAGAGGTTTGGCCGGCTCATACAACGTCCGGCAACAGACCTGACGGTTATCTACAGCCCGGTTTCATTTGCAAAATGGGGCATGGACATCTTAGGGCCATATACGCTTGCCACAGGCGAGCGAAGATACATTCTGGTGGCTGTAGACTACTTCACCAAATGGGTTGAGGCAGAGGCGGTCAAAGGCATCAAGAGAAAGGATGTCATCTCCTTCATTTGGAAGAACATCATCACCTGGTTTGGGGTTCCTATGTCTATGGTTTTTGACAACGGTCCTCAGTTTGAAAACGCCTACCCTCAAGAGTTGGTTGGGATATCAGGGGATCACACATTGTTTTGCATCCGTTGGCCGACCCCAAGCAGACGGTCAAGTTGAAGCCATCAACAAGCTCATCTCAGACGACATAAAAAAGAAGATTGAAAGAGCTGGCGGTCTTTGGGCGGATGAGTTACCTCACGTACTTTGGGCCATCAGAACAACTGAAAAGGGGGCAACCGGTGAAACCCCGTTTCTCATGACATACGACACTGAAGTCGTCCTGCCAATTGAACTTTTTGAGCCAACACTCCGAGTCATGCTTTATGATGAAGAGGCTAATTGGGAGGCCATGCGTCTTGCATTGGATTCACTCCCGGAGCATAGGGGCAATGCCGCCTTGCGTTATGAGATATACCGTCTGAGAATGACGAGGGCCTACAACAAAAGAGTACACAAGCGGCCCCTCAAATTGGGGACTTTGTGCTACGTAAGATGGAGGCAACCGGTAGGGCGAATGAACAAGGAAAGCTAACCCCTAATTGGAAAGGCCCCTACCAAATTTTTGAAGAAGTTAGAGGCGGCACCTACTGCCTGGAAACACCAGACGACAGGCAGCTAGCCAGAAACTGGAATGTAGATAACTTGAAAAAGTACTACTTCTAAGGAGTTGTAAATATTTTTGTAAATAGAGTATATTAATGAAAAGAATACTTTATTTCAATTGTTTCTGTATAAAGTCCCATGTGTAATGTACAGCTGGGCATCTTCTAAGTCCCATGTGCAATGCACAACCGGGCACCTTCTAAGTCCCATGTGCAATGCACAACCGGGCATCTTCTAAGTCCCACCAGTGCAATGCACCACCGGGCACCCGTTTGCTCAAAATGAGAAGGCTAAGTACTTAACTTAGCTATTCAAAAGGCCCAAGGCCAGCATATTTTAAACCGCCTGCTTTAAGCTTGAGCAGGCATCCGGCGACGCCCATTCGGGTGAAATTGTCGAAGAGAACATCTCCCTTCCGGGTGGTACATTGTTCAACGCGTCATAAACTCAAATGGCTTTAACCGATTAGGTTAAAGATAACCCATGCCTGTTCGAATGACCTATCGCAATCAAGATACACCTGGTTATTGCCCCAAGGCAATACAGACGGTGAATTAAATCTTGTTAAGCAGCCGGCTTTTGCCAAAAAGCACCCCAACTGGCTCCCGCTTCCATGCTGAAGTTCGCCCCTGTTGACTTCAAAATGCACATGGCTAACCGCCCCAAGGCAATACAACCGATGAATTATATCATAGATTGCAACTGGCTATTGCCCCAAGGTAATACACATGGTGAAATCAACCTTGATCAGCAGCCAGCTTTAGCCAAAAAGCACCCCAGTTGGCCCAAGCTCCCATACGTAAGGTCAAACCTTGTTGACCTCAGCATCCACCTGGCTATTGCCCCAAGGTAATACAGGCGGTAATCTATATTTTAGTACGCAACCGGCTTTTGCGAAGAAGCGTTACAACCGGCTAAGATTTCAAAAAAAAAAAAAAAAAACCCTTGTCGCATAACTAGTAATGGTTTGAAATGCATACGTTCGCCCCAAGGCTGCCTGCATGCCACCAACGGCACTATCAGGTACCCAAGCGGTAACCTGCAGCCGGGCAAGCGCGTAACCTGAGTTTGATTCAGCCGGCGCAGCCGACATATTCAACTTGGATCAATCCTGTTGTAAAACGGTCAAGGACCGCCTATTCGTTCATCCGGATGATTATGGACGGTTGCTTGATTAGAGTTGGTAACTATAAGTAAACATCCATCCAGGGGCAGTCAGAGCCAATGCATTCGGTATATAGCAAGATATTTCATTCACAGCAAAATTGCAAAAATTGAAGCAAAAAAGAAGTGAAATGAACAAAGCAAATTGACACAATCGGCATATATATATATATAAATTAAAAATTTAAATGTTAACCGGACCTCCGTCCGATGAAAAGTGATGCATAAATACACGGCTCGTAGGATGGATGAAAAGTAGGAGTTGAAAAAAGTAGTTTAGCTGCTGCTACTATTGTTGTTGTTGCTCCGGCTGCTGGCCTTGACCGGCATTAGGGGCATCTTGGGTCTTCTGTGGTTGGGCTTCTTTTGCCCCACCCGGCACTTCTTCCTGTTCCTGCTCATCCCCTATGCCGACCCACCCCTCGAAGGGTGCCGGCTGCTGAAGCCCGAGCACTTGAGCATCAAATACCTCTGTAGCGTATCTGTACCTCAAGTTGAAGAAAGCATAGTCGGTGTTCGGGTGGATCATGGACCATGCCATCTTCATGTGTGCTTTGTAGTCACGCTCATTCTCGATGACCAGCTGGTTCTGTTCAGCCGACAGCTGGTCCAGATGCTCCTTTTTTGTCCTTACCAGCTCGTCCTTCAACCAGGTGACCTCATTTTTTAGCTCAGCATTCTCCTTGTCTGCCTCCCCCAAGGCTTTGACATCAGCCTTGAGTTTGTCAACTTGGAGTTTCTAGTCGGCAGCATTCTGGTTGGTTGTATCAGCAGCAGCCGTAAGCTCCCGGATGAGTTCCTCTTGTTTCATATCCTGGGCTTTAGTTTGGATTTCAAGCATTAAGGAGTTGTATTGACAAACATCAATTAATTCGGTTGCCCGTTTCTGGGCATCCCTTACCTCCTCTTGCT